CTGGCCCTGCAGCCCTATATAGCGCCTAAAGGGGGCTGTCACAACACGTTTCCTCAACACAAAACCAATGAGGTTAAAGGGTTCACCAAAAACTAGCAATTAACCTGTAGTGGATTATTAACGTTACACGGCCCGCTTTTCGTTCCTGGTGATTCAACAGGTGTTTTCTTCGTAAGAATGCCAACAGTTATTCGTATTTATTTCTTCTTTATTGTCAAATACGTGGAATATCAAACACGTGTATTAATATTTGTCACTGGAATACCTTATCGTTGGCTGATTAAACCCTGGTGTTTATAATACGTGTTCTATATAGAGAGAAGAACATCATAATAGGACACCCGGTGTCAATACTGATATTAAGATAGACATGCTATCTGTTCGCTCCATCTCTGATTTGCATCTGCAATTCACAATGTATCTCTCCCTAAATTTGAGATCAAGTGTTTTATTAGAATAGCCTTTTCCGAATCAATAGTTTCCTAATCATATAATACATGCCCAATAATATATAAAATTAATTACAAAGTCACGTACATCTATTATATAATCAGTATTTGTTAATTTATTTCATACACTCAGATGTAATGTAACGCTACCCGTTGTCCCAATACTGGTGGTGCATTGTAACTATTACAGTGTAATGTAATTCTACCCGTTGTCCCAATACTGGTGGTGCATTGTAACTATTACAGTGTAAAGTAATTCTACCCGTTGTCACAATACTGGTGGTGCATTGTAACTATTACAGTGTAATGTAATGCTACCCGTTGTCACAATACTGGTGGTGCATTGTAACTATTACAGTGTAATTTAATTCTACCCGTTGTCACAATACTGGTGGTGCATTGTAACTATTACAGTGTAATGTAATGCTACCCGTTGTCACAATACTGGTGGTGCATTGTAACTATTACAGTGTAATGTAATTCTACCATTGTCCCAATACAGGTGGCGCATTGCAACCATTACAGTGTAATGTGATGCTTCCCATTGTCCCAGTACTTGTGTGATGCATTACAGTGTAATTACATTCCACCCCGTGTACTTGGAACTTGCTTTCTGAATATTCCTAAAACAGTGCAAAACCATATCCGCTTAATCAGCAGTTGTCTTACATAAAATATAGCAAATAAGAGGATATTGTAAAATGAAGATCGGTAAATGCTGATCGTACTATAAGCTGACTTTGTAGTGTATTTGAGTAGAAAGTAAAGCTGTAACTAAAGATAAAAAGCCCGTTCCATAATTATAAGAAATCTCTGCGAGAAGCAGAGTCCATTGTACGATTCAAAATGTATCATTAGCATGTGTTTATAAAACACGTGATAGCGATTATACCAGAGATCCTGCCCAACCCGTGGTACCCGTCAAAGACACATGCAAAGGCAAGTCAAATGTTCACCTGAAAATAAATAGGAACTAATTGTAAGCACGGGTAACGAGGGATACTGATCTTCTGTGAGGTGTTTTCATAATGGAATAGATGGTGAAAGGTAAAATGTTTAAAGGCGTAAAAGTGAAAAAGACAGCCTGACTGACTGCCAACACAGCGGGTCTTTTTAATCAAGACTCCAGTGATCCTGTTCTTGGAGATCTTTGCTTTCTGTTCCAAATAGTTCTTTATCTGTTAAGACTGACAAGACCTTTTCGAGCTCTCGGGGAATTACCACTAATATGAAGTCATGGACGTCGTGACAAGGGAAGGTTATTCCAGTCCAAATCCTACTGATCTGAACATGAGAAAGAGGAGGTTTGGAGCCAATTACCTACAGCCAACATCAAACGAGGACGATTGGATACTGTAGTCAAGTCTCACACATAGCCATCCGGAAATGCAGCTAGAATAATAAAACGCCAGGACTTGTTGTGTGTGCACTTTCAAAGGAGTGGATGAAGGAACAATTACGAAGTGCTTACAAACACAAAGTCATTAAAGGGTTAGAGCTAGCGCTGTTGTTGTACGTGTCTGAGTGGGAAACAAGTAAGAGAAAGTTCCTCGAGTTTAGTAACAAAGTTGTGTGCTACGTGCTCAGGGAGTTGGCTCGGATTGCGGTCTGTCTCCACACAACCAGGTCGGTTTGGGTGAGGTCGGGCCTAGGGGTGCACAGTGCTTCATTCACTGGGAGACTTTATCATTGACTTTATCAAGTTATCATTGCAGAACGATCTAAGTTGTTTTTGTTATTGTGTCAAGATGTTTTTACACAAGGCTTTTACAAAAACAACATATGACAGACTCACATTTCACATTTTGATTTGAGTAAGTGTGTGAGTATGGTTTTACGTTGAATTCAGCAACAGTGCAGCAATATCACAGCGAACCAACTAAATCGAACCCGGAATTTCGGTGTAACGACCGAACGCTCTAACCAGTAGACTACCCCAATATTGTATTTGTTTTGAAAGTGTACAGGTGTTGTATTGATATAAGAAATATAGTAATAAGGGAAACCGACTTAACCCTTGCTGATATACTGACATCTGATTGCTAAGTGATGTCTTCAGTCTCCATGATGGTACATGTAGGGAGGGGTAGAATTCACGAACACCTACCATCACTTTCAGAGGTGTCATTACTTTTCCAGTTTCAGGAGCTTGTTTTAATTCCCTGTCTGTTTTTTTAAAGGAATGGTTTATATCTTTATATGAATTAGTGTTGAGAAGCATTCTTGACCAACTGGACACCATACACACACTCGATATGACGGCAGTCTGTAAATGATCGAGTCGGGGCCAGACAATCCAATGATTGACATCATGGGCATCGATCGATTGGGATATGATGACATGCATCAACCAAGTCAGCGAGCCTGACCTATTCCACCTTGTAACTTCACGGGTCACGTACGTACACACACTTACACACACAATGACATTACAACAAGTTCACACAGGGATGGGACCCGCAGTAAAACATGCATAACACAATACAGTTATTGTTAAGCAAGAAGCGACATACACTCTGATATTGTTGAACCACCGACTTCCTAATTTAAACAATATGTTACTATTTTACCCTTATAAAATCTAATAAATATCTTAGACAAATCCATACCAGCTCACACTTTATTGATAATAAATGCATTTTCTTCAAAGACACTGTCAATATTTGCAAATATGGATTTTGATTTTGAACCCTATTATTCCATCAATTTCATATATCTTTTAACACAATGTATCTCTATGGCCACGATAGAAGCCTTATCAATAACACTCCGCTTCTCTCGAACAACGGTTAATTCATCATGTTGGCCCCTGTGGCTACGGATTATAACAGTTTAACTTCATATGTCATCGTTTGAATATACGTCCCATTGATGGAATAAATATCAGCCCATGATTGGGGAATTTATAACATTACACCGTCAGTGGGAAAGACTGCTAGGTTTGACAAATGTGATCCAGTAATACCTACTAATACCAAATCGTTTAAAACAAAATAAATACACAATATTTACGTCCATGCTTGTTGTGGATTCACAATGGTCAACTTCCCGTTTGGGGGTGCGGTCATGGAGTTCACGTGCCCTTAGTCACGCCGTATTGACGGAGCATTAAAGTCAAGAAAGTTAACAGTTTAAGCAAGTATTCAGCATTTTGTAACACTCTGTAGTATTTAGTTGCCCCCCGAGACAATTCTTCCGGAAATCGAAGTTCACGACAGGGGACTTTCACATCCTTCTTTGAACTGCTTTTTAAAATAGATCAGTTAAAAACTGTCGGGCAAGAGAAGGTATACACCAATGTTTGATGGTGTTCAAAATTGAAAAAAAACAAACATCATTTTTTTTGGCATATTTTATACGGATCTCGAAGTTGTGTTGTGGGCTTGAAGTTTGCAGTGTTTCTGAAACTGTCTTCCGCCTAGTAACATTATGATAAGGTTTGAAGTTTTGGGGTCAAATTCAATTTTCAAATGTATACTTTCTTTTGCCCGGCAGTTAACATCAATATAGTATTGAGAATAGCGAAAAATATGTATGCTGCAAATTTTAAAAAAACAACATTCTGTTAGGTTATATACTTTGACACATAGAATAAAACCGTACCCAACATCTGAACGTGATTATTGGGAAAGCGTTGAGTCGACGGTAAGAACCCAGTGAGCTCAAGTCTATATTGCATACACGCAGATGATGACTACAGATAGACTTTGTTCTGACTCTTGTGTAACTGTGGTAGTTCTGGTGGTATACGAGAATACGTTTAGGTGCTTACATCACGGTACGTTGTGGTTCCAGCTGTGTGGGGATACGGCATTTACCATGAGGAGGAAGTGAACATTGCGGGGAAGGATGTACCCATCATGTCTTTAGAATATGCCAGTGGTTTTTTTTTGATAATGGACATGTGTTGTGGCACGTGTTTTTTTACAATATCCTGATTACTTACTGTAAAGTGTATAATTGAGACAAATAACTGCAATATGGTTTTAGTAAGTTGGTCTAAACGTTCTTCATCTACGATTCCGAATTTTTTTTTAAAGCTGCTCAAGAACGTAGAGTTTACCTAAATATATTTTTTATCATTATAATGATACCATAAACAAAACATTAACTTTGTCCATTGCCATTTCCATTCTGTTACCTATCAGTGCTAATTATCCCCGCCCGGCCTCCCGTTGGCCCATTGTCTATCGCCTATACCAATCAGTGTTAAGAGCTGGCTTCCTTTTGTCCATTGCTAATCTCCTATCGGCTCCCATTGTTAAGTTTCCACCTTTGTTATCCTTATTACTTTTGTTGTTCTTAAAGGTGAATATATATGTTCTCAGCCTCATAGCATTTATTCACCCGATGAAGGAGTACCCCGAAACTTGTGTTTCTCATAATAAAGAAGTTGACGTCCATAAGTTCTTTTCCTTCAGTGTATCACTTCTAAATGCATTTCAACGACTTAAAACATTAACAGGCAATACTGTTTTACCCTTGACAATATTTTGAACAACTAAGTGGCATTTAACATGCCTTACGTAATAAGTGGAACTAGCGTCTTACCTTGTCATTGTGGAAGTAAATAATCCTCTCAGACCAGAGCAGTACTTCCCATGTCGTGTAACCAATACATCCAAACACCAGTCATGTAATGCTTCTCTCTCACTCTATATCTCACTTGTAGTTTCTGGGATTTGTTTAACCATTCACAATTGGCCGAGACGTCCCGAGGCAGCGAGCGGCTGGGTCACAAAACAAACTGACGACCAGCACACGATCAACATGGCCCCCTCCCTAAACTAGTCAACTTCAAAGTCAGGACAGTCGCTGCTCCCTTTCGTCAGAACACCATTGTCTACTTCTTGATTATGGCTTTGAGGTTAAACGTGTGGATGGCATTTCTTAGCTGAATCAAGTTTAATGACTTGATGGCGTGTAGCCATGGAAACACAATATACATCACTGTATGCCGATTGTAAATGTGGCGAGTAAATATTGAAATAGGCTTGTATCATTGTATACTGAGAAAAAGATACAATTATTGTATTCATATTTCACACCTGATTAATAATATGTATAACCGTGAGAATTAAGAATTTGGCAATGGTTGTGAGTTAATGTAAAGGGACATTTATTACTTCAAATATCGTTGGTATATTTGTCCAGGGCAGGGAAAGACATTTTCCTGATCACATTGAGCGCAGATACAGAGCTGTAACACTGTCAATATCGGGGTGTATACTGTTCGTGTGGCGACGTCAGAACCAAGTATGAAATACGTGGTCGACGAGACGGTTATAGCAATTACGACATGATTTGGGTGAATTCAGTCGAGGGTGTTAACACGCAAATGTATGCTTTTGCTGCAGGTGTTTTTATGCTTAAAAGTGGGTGGAGTTGTGTCAGAATTCACAGAATCTTACTTGTACGATTTTAAAAGTGCGATTTCTGCATTGCATTAAGGAGAACATTGGTATAGGGTGATTTACAATGTCATACATTCGAGTTCGAGGTACTCGCTTATCTCGATTATACCTCTTTAGGGTTTTGCCCCTTTACTTAACGAGATTCGGTGGGCAACGATTTGGTCATTACCTCTTATGAATATTTTTTAACTGAATATGATTTGACATGTTTTATTACATGATTATTAATACACTGAATGGAGATGAGAGAAGCAATGTTCAGTTGTTATGATATGTTTCCTTGTCAACACTATTACGTGCTTTGCTGTCAGGAGGATGACGTTGTAGTGAACATTTTAACAACAGTTTAGTCAACTTGACCTCCTCACAACAAAGGAGATAGTTTAAGTGATGGGTCCCACCCACGTGAAGCCAACAGAGGAAGATGAAGCAATGATGAGGACATGCTGGTCTGTAACTGTCTCCTATATTGACGCCTTATTTGCCGTCATTGATTGGGCGAACTACAGTAGCGAACGGTGTGTATTCGGTGGACCATCAACAAATACACGGACAATTGACACGCATCACTTGATCCCAGCCTTGGACACTCGGCGAGGGACACGTCACGTTTTCTTTGACGGTCATTTGTGGTCAAATATTTGGCATCACGAGTCGAGGGCCGTGTTGCAATTACTCTGATGGAGAGAAAGGCGTTTTGGTTGTGGTGATGGATGTAAGGTATGGATTCCCTGTGATGGTCCTAATCACATGAGTGTCTGAAGCTTGTTCCTCACACAGCCCCTGAGATGCGACTTGTGGGATGCTGCAATGAGGAGGTGTTGTCATAGCAACAAGGAAACTGATACAACCCATGGACAGGAAGAACAAGCATTACACGGTGTTGCCAGAGTTAGATGCTTAGGGGCAAAATGAACCGTCATAAGATGTTCTTATCGTCCAGACTTTCTCGGAATGGTTAGAACGTTTGAACAAACTGGATGTTGGTCCGCTTTTCAAATATTTCATAAACATTATCAACTTAAAGAACGATCATATTTCGTGCCACGAAACAATATGAAGGTAACTGATAGATATAAAAGAGTCGGAAATTCTGTCATTACAGTTTTGTCTCCGTAATAACTTCTATGTTCGGAAATAGTTTAAAATGAATTCTTATTCTCATTTCTACCGGAAACACGCAAATAAAGTAGCAACAGTGAGACAATATATTCCTGTATAGTCAGTCACGTGGACGGATCGTTGGACGGAATTATTGATGAATAACCAGATAGTAAGATGTTTGGACAGCTCCACAGATACGTAACTGGATAGTCAGACGGTTATATTGTTATAGAGATGTATAACTCTCGGGTCAGACGAATAGATGCATAGATAGATAGATGGTTAACTGACTAAGATCGATAGATGGATAGATGGATAATCTGACAGATAGATGTACCTATAGTTAAATAGATAGATGGTTAACTGACTGAGATCGATAGATGGATAGATGGATAATCTGACAGATAGATGCATCCGTACATGAATAGACAGATGATTAACTGACACAGATCGGTAGATGGACTGATGGATAATCTGACAGATAGATGTATCTGTAGATGAATAGACAGATGATTAACTGACACAGACCGGTAGATGGATAGATGGAAAATCTGACAGATAGATGTACCTATAGTTAAATAGATAGATGGTTACCTGACACAGATCGGTAGATGGATAGATGGGAAATCTGACAGATAGATGTACCTATAGTTAAATAGATAGATGGTTACCTGACACAGATCGGTAGATAGATAGATGGATAATCTGACAGATAGATGTACCTATAGTTAAATAGATAGATGGTTACCTGACACAAATCGGTAGATGGATAGATGGATAATCTGACAGATAGATGTACCTATAGTTAAATAGATAGATGGTTACCTGACACAAATCGGTAGATGGATAGATGGATAATCTGACAGATAGATGTACCTATAGTTAAATAGATAGATGGCTACCTGACACAAATCGGTAGATGGATAGATGGATAATCTGACAGATAGATGCATCTGTAGATGAATAGATAGATGGTTGACTGAACAGATGGATAGTGTGACATATAGACACATCTATAGATGTACAGATAGACTATTAACTGAATAGAATCGATAGAAAAATAATCTGACAGACAGACACATCTGTAAATGAATAGATACATGGTTAGCTAAATGGATCGATAGATCGATAGATGAATAACTGGATAGTCAGGCGGTTAGTTGTTGAAATGATGATAGTTAACTAGTTAACCAACAAGATCAGTAGATGTATCACAGGCCAGACATCGATAAATAGGCATTTAGGATAGAGTGAGTGAGTGGGTTGGGTTTAACGCCACTTTAAATATTCCAGTCATATCACGGCGTGTCAGCTTAATGTCAATCTCATTGAAATCAGATCTAAGTTCTCGCTGCCGCTAAACAAGTGATGCAGGTCTCAGACGTTTACCACTTCGGTGAAACCCACGAGCACGGGTATGGTGCTGACAAACCTAGAAACATAATCGGGGCGAACCGGGATTCGAACCCACAACCATAGGTTTCTGGCGTGCCCAAGGGACGCAACTCTGCACAGCGAATCGCGGCGCCTTAGACGACTGGGCCACCCGTGCCCCCCATTTAGGATAGATACCAAACATATCGTCGTATAGATATATAGTGGATAAAAAGATACAGCTCTTCACCTGCATAGATAAATATATATGCTGTATGTGTCCGGGCTCCAATGTACGATTGTTTTCTGTCAACTTGCAACAATAAATCAACTTTATTGTCTTCAGTGAAGGGTCTTCACTATCGACTTAAGGATTGTTGATTTAAAGATGTGTAAATACAACACAACGTTTGATCATAAAACTGAACTGAAGACGTGGAATTATCCGAATTATCTTTCATTTCTTGATATTACATTCTTGAAATCGAGAAGGGTCTCCACGTCATATTCCTGTTTAAATGAAACTGTTATGAGACATAGACAATCCTCAGTAAACACAACTTGACATTGTATCAAACAATAAAGACACTTCGCCTTACGCTCGGTACTCGAAAGAATTTCTGCTACTAGAAGTCAGCCAAGGATAAACCCAGTGGTGGGTCCCCGGCAGACATATACAACTCCCAGCTGCCCACGACGCACGTACTGCCTTCTATAACGCCAATACAAACATGGAGGAATCTAGGCTTCCGGACAGACTAGTGTAGCTAGGCAGAGGAAAGATTTCAGAGAACATTTCTTTCAAGAAGTAGTGTTTAGTTGTTTATTGAAAATGTCAATAAGTATGGCCATGCAAATCACCGCGTCAGGCAAAACCTGTTTATGGGGTATCGCGGTTTTAAGTTTTTAAACACACGGCTTCATCCTTTTAGTTATATATTTTCTCGTGTAGTGTAAGTGCTAAAACAGAGAAATAATGTCGAATTTATACAAGGGTCCCTAAGCTGTGGAATATTGGTTTTATGCAACCGTGCCTCAACTATTCAGTATTGGTTTCATATAATTAAATAAGGTGAGGTGAAATGGGGTTTAACGTCGCGTCCAAGATTATTGCACTTATATAGCGACGTGCATGTACGTGTGTGTGTTTGTGTGGCTGCTTGTACTAGTCCGGACTGATGCCGATTTATAGTGCTAGCTCACTGAGATACCATGCCGCAGTTTAACATGAAGACCCCACTCAGGACACAGTATACTGACTCCGAGCCGACCAGTCCTTGTTTTAGCCCCTTAATGCCGAGCGCCAGACAGGGTAACAACAGGTACCATCTTTTAACGTCTTTTGGTATGACGCGACCGGGGATTTAACCCCGGACCTTCCGCTCTCCTGGCGGACGCTTATAATTAAATAATGCCACGTATAAGGCCAGTATGCTAACTGAGGAAGAACTCTGCCAAGTTTGTGCATCTTTATTATGAACGCTTGACTTGACTCTTAAACCTGTATTTTATTCCAAAGCCCCATAAAAATTCGTTCAGGATACATTGCAAGGTTCAGCAAATGTACACCAATATCTGTCTCAAAGATACCCCTTACTACAATCAGGACATTCTTTATATTCACAGAAAGTTTTTCAGACAAGTGGAATTAATACAATGTGGATTAAAAAGAAAACCTCAAAGGGTGTGCTTGAAAGTTTGCAATCTCAGAAAAGAAACATTCTGTCACAACATTTTATTTTT